TTTACTGGACGCGCGACCTTGCTGTGACGCGGTCAGTGTCAGTGATTTTGATGGCTCTGAAAGAAAATCTCAGGCCTCAGAACTCCAGTGAAAAAAACACGCTTTCATGCAAAAACCCCGAAACCCGCACGTAGCCACGACAAAGTATCTCGGATGCGGGTTCTATGCTGGTAAATTCTGAATAAACCACTGTACGGTCGGCTCGAAAGACGAGGAGACCGGAAAGAAAAAGGCAGCGAGCCTTGGTGCTGTCATTACATCGATATATTGCTAAATACATTAAAAATAAAAGACGACATGCATGAGGGAAACGAATAACAGTTGTAAAAGATGCCGCCATGAAATCAACATGTGACTACGTAGTGGCGCCCGGTTTGATTTCTTTGTTGTGGAAAAGCATAACACACAAAGGGGAAAACGACACGAGGGTAAAAAGACAAGAAAAACTTATCCTACCAGCTAGAATGTTGGATGCCGCGGTTGCGGCGACGACCCATGCTAGAAACCCGGACAGGAAAAGGCAACGAAGCCAGGCAGAGCCGCTCAGAATCATTCCCCGCCGAGGCGGAGAGAATAGAAGAGTGATGGACGGCTACCTATGGCGTGGCCATGTGGCCTCGGTCACGTGGGTTCGTGACGTAAGGGGTAAAAGAATCTTGAGGTCATGGGGCTTCCCCTGACCTAGATTCTATCTCTCCGTCACCGGCAGAATCGCTGATTAATGCCTACTGTTCAAAATAGTCATTTTGACTGACCGGAGTCTATGGTGGGTAATTGAACGTAGTGAATATGTATGATCTATGTACTAAATTTGAATGAAAACTGACAAAGCATGTCCAAAATACAACATTTTCAAAAAACAAGATGGCTGCCAGTCGGCCATTTTGAATCGAATCGCTAAACCACTGCATGTGCATATGTCCCACATAAAGTACTAGGCACATGCAAAGAATGAACGGAATCGGTCCAAGGGATTCTGAGATATGACTCCAGACGGACGCATGGACGCACAGACATACAGACGCACGGATGGAGTCCGAATTATAAGTCCCCGACTTCGTCCGAAAGGGGACTAAAAACCTTAGAATACAAGCAGTAGTTTCAGTGAATAAAATCTTAGAATACAAGCAGTGGTTTCAGTGAATAAAGATTTAGAATACAAGCAGTGGTTTCAGTGAATAAAACCTTAGAATACAAGCAGTGGTTTCAGTGAATAAAACCTTAGAATACAAGCAGCGGTTTCAGTGAATACAATTCTGTGAATACAACATACCAGGATTCATCACCCTGTATGTCTTATCTGGTTCAGGATGTCTTCCTTGAATAATTTGCGTTGTTACTCTTTCTGTCAATATCTGGGAAAAGAAGAATATTATGAGGCTATCACAAAAAATCAAGTGTTTGTAGAGCTGGTTAATACAAAAGATGTCAAAAGAAAAGCTAATTAAGCACTGATTGAACAAATATAAAATACTGATAATGCATTTTTCACCGCATCTCCATAAGTTACAGAATCATATAGCAAAAGATTGGATTGACCTCTGCTAAATTGACAATTAATATTCCCATTGTATTGTCTTCATACAGACTTAGCGATTAATTAATAATCCGTTGGTAATACAATGTAAGACAGATTAAACAGACAGTGATTACAATTATTGTTGTCTCACCTCAAATAGTCCGGTGTAACAAAGAGGAGATAGGCAGTTACTATTGAGTGACAGTCTCTCACCAAGCAAGGAATAAAGACTGTGACTATACATCAAATCAAGTTTACGTCTGAAAGAGATTGAACGAGAGTTGAATCAGATATCTAAAATTAATTATCACTATACATGCATCATAAAGTATATTGGATATCATGAATACATCATGGAATGATATCTGAGAAATTATCCATGCATCATGATTTATTGTTTTCTCTCGATACATTGACACTACTGTCACCAGTCTCAGTTGACAATACTTACTTGTGAGGCATCTTTCCTAAGAAGAAAGCCATTGTCTTCATTGCCATAACTCGAATAATTTCATCCTTTGAAGCTAATAACTTAAAAAAAACCCTAAGCAATAAAAACAGAATTATTAAATTAATATTCATTAAGATCTCTAACTATAAGATAGTGAAATACAATAAAGACAGGCAATGTATGCAGACAACAACATTCTGAAAATCACTACAATTTTTATTTATTTGTGGGTCAAGTCACCAGATGCCAGAATTAAGTTTATTCAGGAATATCATCAAGCACCAGTATCACAGACTTTACCATACATGTATGTGTTTACCTTTTGTTTGTTCAAAAATTTATAAGAATAACTGATAAGAATTCGTAATACTAGAAAACAATGCTATAGTCTCCAATTATCAAAGAAATCTGATTTTGAAACAAAAAAGGGGTTCCATCTGTGTTAACCTTTGATTGTCAAAATCTACTCTTGATAATAAAATCCTAAGCCAATGTCCACTTAAAACAAACTTATCAAAAATACTAGAAAAATAAATAAAACAAGCAGCCTTTCGGCTGAGATAGCTTCGCTGTTAGAAATGCACATTTCAATTAAAGAACTGAAGACATCATCAGAAAATGAACAATATGTATAGTATCAAAGCAATCAGACTTACAGTTTTTAACAAGAAGTCGAAAATATCAATTTTTACCAAAAATGACCAAAATATTCACCAAAATTAGAGAATTGAAGATATCATCACGAAATGAACAAATCTGAAAAAGGTCTACATGTAGTATCTATATATATAATATCAAAGCAATTGAACTTTTGGTTTTTAACAAGAAGTCGAAAATATCACTTTTTACCAAATATGACAAAAATATTCACCAAAATTATAGAATCCAAGATATCATCACGAAATGAACAAATCTGAGAAAGGTCTACATGTAGTATCTAAATATGTAATATCAAAGCAATTGAACTTTTGGTTTTTAACAAGAAGTCGAAAATATCACTTTTTACCAAAAATTACAAAAATATTCACGAAAATTAGAGAATTGAAGACATCATCACAAAATGAACAAATCTGAGAGAGGTCCACATGTAGTACCTATATATGTAATATCAAAGCAATCGGACTTGTGGTTTTTAACAAGAAGTCGAAAATATCACTTTTTACCAAAAATTACAAAAATATTCACCAAAATTAGAGAATTGAAGATATCATCACAAAATGAACAAATCTGAGAGA